TTATTTCTGTCTCTTCTCAGGTTCCAGGATGGAAAAATTCTCCAGGACCTGGAAACCCTGCTAAACAGCAAAGGTAAAGACAGAACGAGTTCATCTTCATTCTAAAGCTAACTTTCTGCCTCTTAAATAGAACTTAATTCACTTCTATTTGTCCAAATTTCTTCTGTTAAAAGGCCCAACTCATGCTTTTCTTGTTCAGTTTTCTCCTTTCTGTGCAAGTAAAGAAATGCTGCCGTGCTCACGTTAAACGTGCATGAAAACAATAACTGGTCATCCTCCTTAAAGTGCAGAATCTCAGTATTTGTGATGAAAAATGGTGTAAAAAAGCATCAAAACATTCAGTTAATTTGTGACACCAAGCCAAAAGCCTTTAGATACACTGTAAAACTTCTATTTTCTGTCTGAGACAGTAGGTCTCATGACACAGCCTTTCCATTTTCCCTGAATTTATAACTAACTTCCATGGCTCCTTTAACCCTATAATGCCAAATGTATCATATTTGATACGGTTTTCTGAAGTCTTTTGGATCTTTTTGGAGACTTTTTGCATCATTCAGTGGTAAAAGCTTTGCTCAAACCCCTGTTGTACACATTCAGATATACCTGATAACAGCCAGTAGAAGACTACACCAAAATATATTTTTGACTTATTGCACGCTAATTTGATCAAAATAATTTCAGTTTTTTTTCTTCATATGTTGTTGAGGGGCCAAAGAAAGACTTAAGACTAAAAAAAAATCCAATATTCTTCCAATTTTTCTTGGATCAGGCTTTAAAGGGTTACGGTCAGAGGCTTCGTTTGATGACTGAGATTTGTCAAAATCACAATTACAATCCGTCTCCATCCGGGGAGGCTGTCCACCTCCACCTCCTGCTCTGACCCAAAGTGCTCAGCAGGACACTATTCTCCAGTCTTTCTGTCTCTGGTTCCTCAGGCGGCCTGCAGGCGTTCCGCGGGTTCCTGCGCTCCGAGTTCAGCGAGGAGAACCTGCGGTTCTGGCAGGCCTGCGAGGACTACCGGCTGTCCCCCGCCGGCCTGCAGAAGCTGAAGGCCAGCAGCATCTACAGCCAGTTCATCAGCCCCGACGCCCCGCTGGAGGTCAGTGGGAGGTTTGGGTTTTGGATTTTAGGGGTTAGCTCCTCACAGCTAGCAGAGCCTTCACCAGCGTAAGACCATCCAGACTGTTTAATGTGTCGTTCCAAGATGGTGGAACCTACCAAGCTACAAGAACAGCAGAGTCCCTGTCTGTCTTCAGAAACTCTTGAAGATCCCCCTCTTCAAAGAGCATCTCCTATCCCGACTCTTCCCCAGACCGGGGTAAAGAAGTATATATACATATATGTATATGTATATGTATAAATATATATATATTGCACTGAGGTATTGCAAAAAGAAACATTAAGTTGAAGACAAAACTAAACTAAGGTGCGTGTATTGTCCATGTCCGTGTGTGTGTTAGGGTTGTCAAAAGTAGCGATACTCAAAAAAGTATCGATACTAAAATGATGTATCCGGATACGATACTCATTTTCAAAAGTATCGATACCACATTAAACTCTATCCATAATATTATGTTAAAATAGTGGATTTTAAATAGGTTTGTACAACAGTCTGCACCACGCTTAAGACCATCCAGACTGTTTAATGTGTCGTTCCAAGATGGTGGAACCACCTACCGAGCTATATGAACAGCAGGTCCCTATCCTAACCCTAACCCGTACCTCTACCCCCCACAGCTCCTATCCTAACCCTAACCCGTACCTCTACCCCCCACAGCTCCTATCCTAACCCTAACCCGTACCTCTACCCCCCACAGCTCCTATCCTAACCCTAACCCGTACCTCTACCCCCCACAGCTCCTATCCTAACCCTAACCCGTACCTCTACCCCCC